AAAACCAAATTCCCCCCCCCCCAAAAAAAAAAAAAAAAAAAGAAAAAGAAAAAAGAAAAAGAAACCAATCCTTCTTAAGTACACCTCAGCGTTCCCACACCCAAGTTCCTGCCAATACTCAACTCTCAGAGATAAAGACGTGCCTATGTGTGTGGTGGTGGTGGTGGTAGCAGGTAGACAGGAAAGGGTATGATTTGGTAAATAAGAGCTTGGGCACCAAACTTTGGCTCTAAATAAATATACTGGTCTTGCCACTTATTGCCTGGGTGACCTTGAGCAACTGACTCCTCTCCCAGCCTCAATTTTTCCATTTATAAAATGGGAATTTTCTTTGCCCCCTCCCCATAACATCCTTGGGAGGCTTTAATAGGACAACCAGCTCTTAGGATGAGGTAGATGAGGAAACTGGGCTCAGAGAGGTTGCAAGAACCATCCAGGGTCACACAGCGAGTTAGAAAGCGAATCAGCCCACCAGTCAGGGCTCCTGGTTCCTCAAACAAAACTTCTATGTTTTCAAGAAATGATGTAGGAATTTCTGCAAGACCCCCATTTACTCATTTCACTGTTGAAGTCTGAGTGGAAACAGAGAAGCCCCCTGCCCACAGAGTGGAGGTCTAGGAACAACAGCAATCAAAGGCTTCCTCCCCAACCAGGGACCCCCACCTGCAGTCACCAGCCACCTCCAAGAGCCAGAGGACACGGTCTCAGTTTCACTCCAGAGAAACCCTAGAGGCGACTCAGCTGAAACACTCAGCCACACGGGTGCCTGGACAGCTGGTCAGCAGGACCCAGCCCCCCTGGTATTTGGACTTTAAAAATAGACACCATCCTCATATGCTTGGGGTGGTTTTAAGTGTTCTCAGGGCCGCTGGCAGAGCAGGCTGAAAGGGCTTCCCAGGCTCTAGTCAGCAGGACCAGTTCCCTCTCCTGGAGCCTGGACCTGAGGCCCCGGAGACAGTGGTGCCAGTCCCCTCCAGCCACCAGCCGGCAGTGCGACTTTGGGCGAGTCGCTTCACCTCTCCAAGCCTCTAGAGAATAGGAAGAACAATCGCTCGCACCCAGGTGAACAAGAGGACTGAGTGAGATTACACGGGACAGCACGGCAGGGAGCCTGGGACACAGAAAACATTCACTGAGCACCTACTGTATACCCAAAACAGGCCCTGGGACACAGAAGGAGCGTGCACAGTCCAGTGGTCCAGGAGCTCTGGGTCTCCCAGGGGTAAGAAGCGATGCAGCAGAAGCACAGGGCCGGAGGGGTGCCTAACCTTGCCCGGGTATAGGGAGGCATCCTGAAGAGGTGACAACTGAGTAGGAGCTATGGAGGTGAAGGGGGGACACAAAGGGGCAGACAAATAACTTCCAGGTAAACTTCCCCGGAGCTGGGAGAGGGCTGGCAGATTTCTGATGTGCACAGAATCACAACAGTGTCCATCTATTAAGCACTTACCTAGCGTCAGCCACTAACCTAAGTACCCCACATGTATTAACCCATTTCGTCTTCACACCAACCATCGAGGTGGGTTCTGTTGTTAAATCCTTTTTACAGAAACAGAAGCTGAGGTTCAGAGGGGTTAAGCAGCTTATCCACAGTCACACAGCCAATAAGTGATTGGAGCCAAGATCTGAACCCAGGACTGTGATTCAGAGGTTCTACTATCAGGAGCTCTCGAGGGGTGTTGAGGAATGAGCTGTAGAAGGCAGGGGTCAGGCCAGGAGAGCAGGGCCTGGGTCTCCTCACCTGTCAGGGGGCTGAAAAGGGACAGCCTGGCTAAGATGTCAGCCTCTATGTTAGAGTGACCTGAACATCGATATGGACCCCGATGCTCCACTTCCTAGCTTTGTGATTACACCTGGATTCTTCCGGTCTCTGAGCCTCACTCTCCCTATCTGTAAAATGGGGATAATGTGATAGCATGCTCAATGAGTGGGCGTGGCTATGTCGGTCTCTTAGGGCTCCTCTCAGTTCAGAGGGTCTGGACGGGGCTGGGTGACCGCCGACCAATTCTTTCCCTCCCTGGGTCTCGGTTTCCCCTGAGGAGGGGGTTGGACCAGAAAGGGAGTGGCCCACAAAACCTAGAAGCCCTCATCGAACCATCACCTACCTATGCCAGAAAAGCCACTCAGCCCAGCCCCCTCCCTCAGGCGGAGTCCGAGCCAACGCAACCCTGGAGAGGAGGGTCTGGGAGAGGGTCCCCTGAAGAAGTGCGGGGAGGAGGCCCAGGGTGATTTTGAGAAGAGGGCGGAACCGAGGGCACAAGTGTAAAAGTCAGCCCTGGAAGGGGGTGGGTTTCGATGCGGAGAAGCAGCGGCAGGCGCTGGGATCCCCAAGGACAGGCCGAGGGCTTCAGTGTGGGCTTAAGAGGAGGGCCTGGGACCATCAAATGCGGGGAGCGATGCGGACTGGGCAGAATTAAGAGAGGCCGCGGAAGGGTGCAGGAGGGGCGAGCTGCGGCTCTGATGCGGCACAAGAGGCGGGGGCTGAAGTTTGTGCGGT